CAATTCTGGTCACTGTATCTCAAAAATGACATTGCAGAGCTGGAAAAAGTACAACTAAGATGATTAAGGGGTTGGAGCACCTTTCCTATGAGGAAAGGCTGAAGAGTCTGGGACTTTTAAGAGACAACTAATCTTTCAGTATTAACGAAGCTACTATAGTCAAGGTAACAGAGTATTTAATTTCCTGAGTTAAGACAGATAGCAGTTCACAGCACCTTTTGGGCCTCTCTGCAGAAACACTCAATGTCCCTTTCCTGGCTAGCTGTGAAGCTAACTGGCAAGAAATCATTGTTTGGATGTCTGTGGCTGCTCTGTCTGATTTTACTTAGAGATTCTGTGATACGCAAAACCTGGCTCATGAACAAAAACAAAGTAGAGGCTCTACCACAAGTATATTTTTTCAAGACTTGTCATATTTAGACAGTATAATTTTTACTATAGAACATATTTATTATACTGTGAAAGTACGATATTTGGAAATGTTAAAACAGCCACTAAATGTGGCTTTCATTTCATTCAGAAACTTAAGAGTTTGCACTAACTCAGTACTAACACACGTGGTGCTAGTACAACTTTTGGTTTCTTAAACTATTTGAATCAAATGTCAGAAAATTTAATTAGAAACACTTACATGATTCACCAAATAAACTCTCTCCTCCCCAAAAGAACATAAGATGGTACAGAGCAAGGTTATAATAAGAAGCAAATATGTGAGCAGGTAAGTTCCCCAATCAAATCTCACCTTGCCAAGAACTCAACCAAATAGTCTTATGTGCAACACAATGTCTTTCAGAGATGCGAAGCCCCTCCAAAAAACAGGAAAAAGCCCGTTTCCCCCCTCATTTTTCCCACCTGAATTTTTCTAATGTTGAGAATACTGGGGGGGGGGGCTCTTATGAAATATTTTCTCTTTTAGGATGAGTGAAATGCTTTTAAAGACAGTGTAGGCATGCTGTACACACAGAGAGATCTTAAATTAAAGATGCATTTCTGTACCTAGAAGGATAATTAATCTTCACGAGGAAAGCAGGCAGGGCTTTCACTGCTTCTCAACTGATGCATGCCTTCTGTTGTCCTTTTGACCTGACCGTATTCTTATGGTTGACCTTTTCACCTCTCCCTCAAACCACTGTGAGACATATACCCACAGACTGGTTAACAAGTAGCTTAATGCCCTACCTTGCTGAAGGGGGGGAGAGATCAGAAAGAGTTGGGGCAGAAACTGCAGCAAAGCCTCACACGAAAACTCTAAAAGTTTGTTGAGAACTGAGCTCTTTCTAACCACTAACCACAGAAGAAAGAAGACAGTATCTACCTGGAACTACAACTAGGTGTAAAGATATTATTAATGACTGTGTGACCCTTTTTCTTACCAAATGATATGTTTTATGTTGTTTACCATAAAGCTTGTATTTTCTGTTTAATCCCTTTCCCCCCTACTTCTCAGATAGGAAAAATTAAGGTACATGTAGTAAGGCAGCACAGGGTGCATCAGTTTGCAGTTTTCTGTCAAGTATTGGGCATATTGTATTTTATGTTAAAGCAGTAAAATTAGTTTAGGTTTGATAGGATAGTAAATATTGCATGTATTTCAATTGTTCCCCAAATTTCCATTTTTTTTCTGGAAAAAGCAGGGAAAACTGTTTTTCCTACTGTTGCTTCAGAATTTCCTGAAATTGTATTTCTCTACGCTCTCTCATCCTCTGTCTCCCATCAACATTACAATTATAGTAATTCTGATGTACATTATAGGATTGCTGAAAGGATCACTGCAATATCAGCTGCACTCAGATGTCAAGAGCTGCAGTTTGTTGTGAGAATGAGGCAGGATGTTCCCAGGCTTGCACGCACCCTCCCATCAAGCACTGCAACGAGACTGAAGTACAACAAATCTATACTCATACAGCAAATCTACAGTCTACCTGCAATTTGTTGTAACATCCAAAATCAGGTGCTTCAATGAATTGTGTTTTGTTTTGTTTTCCCCCCTTACAGCTAGCTAGTATTCTAAACATGAACTGAAACATTGTTTTTACCCACGAACCTACTCCAGTTTGCTGAAGTTCCCCAGTGTAGGGCATCTCCAATCATGGTGTTGCATGTCAGGAGAAAGAGGGGAAGTGGGGGGAGCTGAGAACTTCCTGTTTCATTCTCATCCCAAACTATAGATGACATCTATAGATTATGACATCTGGATTAATCCAATACACATAAAGCACTCTGAAAATATTACATAAATCTTCTAAATATTACTGCTACTTTGAAAAGTCTTCAAAATTTATCTAGAAGTACATTCTGCTCCCAAAACATATCTTTGAATGACAAGAATCTGACCAATTCACATCAATACTTGCACTTCTAAAGGTCTTAAAATAATTGATACCACCAACAAAACCATTCTTTCCTCTATGCTCTTTTATATACTAACAGCTAATTCACGCTTTATCATTTGCTTTCATTCAAAAGCATAAACTATAAACGCCTCGCTGGTGTAAAGAGAGCAGATGTGTAAAACTCAGTAATTGGTCTTTAAAATCAACTGGAAAAGACTGGGCACTCACTGGCAAGTACAAAAGTGAGCACTGGTCCTACAAAAACCCTCCACCCCCAATCCTGTAGAAATAGATGCTAGCCACTCTGTGGGCCTGTTTCAAAACAGAATGTAAATATGTTACATAAACAAACAAACAGAACAACTTGGTAGCTTTCTTGGCCCAAACTTCTGTAGGACTAGAAAGATTCTGAAAAATATCTAGCACTATTCATAGAGCACTACATCTTCTATAAATCAACATTTGCAATATTTATCAGTTCATTTCAGATTATTTATTCTGCACCATCATCAGGAAACAGAACAATGCAAAACAAAGCACCACATAAAGCATTTATGTAACAAAACAACATAAAATACTATAAAACTAAAATCTAGGGTTGGAACAAAGTTTGGTTTCTATGATGTCAGAACTGGACTTTTTTTCTCTTTATGGAACACCGCAGCCTTGAACAGAGGAACAATCTGGGAACAGCGACTGACTGAAAAATGGCTCACAGGATAACAGCAAAGCATGCTTGCTCCCTTCACAACTCCTCTGACCAACATAGAGGACTCCCATGTCTAATTTTCATTTTTAAATTTCTCAGGAAACTGTTACACTGATCTGACATGTTGATATCTACACGAGCTCTTGCTTAAGTGAGTGCGGTCAAGCAACCCACCGCAGCCATAATGTTTAATCATGGTTTGTTGCCTTATTCTTGGTTAAGTTCTCAATTGTACCATGAAATCATGGCTTAGTTTGTCATGCTATACCCAACTGCGAGAGGTTGGCTGTGCTTTTAAATAATGTGTTCATTTTAAACAATTGTCATGCTGTTTTATGATTTTATTATGTCTCACCTTGCAAGCCATGTCAAGCAGTTTCTCTGGAGAGGTGTTACACGGGTTTTATTAATGGGCAAAAAATAAAATAAAATAGATATCAATAAGACCTGCTTGTCACATTGGGAAATGGGCTGAACTGCTTTCATGTTTGTTCTGTGCAGTTTTAATACTTGAAAACGGCAAGTAAGAATAAAGAGGGTGAGGGCAGGCCTGGCAGACCTTATATGCCCACTCTTTCTGCCTCCAACATCGCCACATCTCCATGTACCAGCATCAGGACAGGCACATGCCTCCCTGTCCTTTTCCTCCACCTCCTTGAGTGGTGGGATGGAACAGCATAGTTTAAAAATTCTTTTCAAACCATGGTTTCATATCCTGGTTCGTGGTCAATTCTTAACCATGGTTTAGATATTCATTTAAAATAATTATGGAAAAGAAAAAACAACTTGTTAGGTGCTGTATGAATTAGAAAGTGTAGTTTCACAAAGCTGTTACAGAGGTAAAAAGGCTCCCCCAGCTCATTAAAGACAGGCAAGACCCCAGAATAACAAGATAAATATATTCAGCCTCCAAAATCTTTGGTAAATCCATAAAAGACGGAAACCCTAGTCTGTGCATAAACCGACTAGGGGTGTGCAAAAATAATAATAATTCAGCCCATTCGGATTCGTCCGAATCAGGCAGAATCCATTTAGGCTGGCAGTAAGACTCCCGCATGTCAGTTTCGTCAGTACCAGAGAGTCTTTTGGCCAGCCGAATGTCAATTTCAGCCCCATTATATCCTATGGGCTATTGAAGTCAACAGCGAAAACATAGGGTATATTCTGGGGGCTGGAGGGGAGGGGGCTTGAGGGAGAGACTCCATACTTGCAGGGTAGCTGCTGAAGCGTCTCCCATAGAGAACAATGGAGGGGATGGGGCAACCTGTTTGGGGGCCCGTAGAATTGAACCCCCTGGTCCAATGTTCTTCAAACATGGTTGGTATCTTGGGGAGAGGCTCCAGAAGCTATCCTGTGAATTTGGAGCCTCTCCCTCAAACCCCCTCCCCTCCAGCCCCCAGAATATACCCTATGTTTTTGCCATTGACTTCAATGGCCCATGGGATATAATGGGGCCGAATTGCCGCCGAAATTTGGCCTGCAGCAGCCCGAAAGGGGTCCGAATGGGCCATTTTCGGGGGTGCATTCGGTTTGGATGAACCGAATACACATCCCTAAAACTGACCTTAGCATAAGAAGAAGAAAGGCTCTCTGAAGTACTGAAAACTGTCAATCGTACTTTCAGCACACTGCATATAATCAGTGCACCAAGAGGGGAGAAGGATCACAGTGGAAAGTCCTGCCTCCAACCTACATGCTCTAAAGTGAAAGTCTGAATAAACACTGCATGCATAAGAGTGTATGTGTGCAGAGCTCTTTCAATGCAAACAGGAACTGTAAAAAATAAGTAGGAAGCAGTCTTTGCCAACACGGTCCCATTCACCCTCTATGCACATTCACTGTACATACTTTGAGCATGTGAAAGAGGCTTCTGTTTTGCCTATATCCAAGTAAACGGATTGATAAAGTACAAACGTAACTACCATACAAAATGACATCTTTAAAGTAAAGGAACTCACATTGTTGTTTTCTGTAGAGAGCGATCTTAATTTCTTTACACTTGGACTGGCCTATTTGTGCAAACCATCTTTCCTCCAGGTTGACTGCGAAGGCTTCGCCAAGTGGAACCTTTAAAAAAAGGGACAACATCACATTTTAACAGTAGGTAATTAAACAAATCCAATTATGTTAACAATGACAGAATCTTTCTGTTAGCTCTCAGTTCACAAACACAACCTTGCTCTTTTCTTTCACATTTTGCACAAAACTCTTCATTTCACATATAGCAAATACAATTCTCTCTAACTCCAGGACTCTCATATGTCTGATGAAACAACTCAGACCCAGTCTGGCTTACTGATCCCTCTTTTCTGGGCTTCCTGAAACAGCTTAGCAGAAATGAGAAATGAAAACATAAAGATGCAAGTAAAAGAAGGGATCTTCCTCCCACTGGTGCACCTTGTCTGTTTTTCACTTCTTTCACCAATGGGGAGGAAGGAGAAAAGTCAGACAGAAGTAATACCAGAAAGAGGTAATGCAGAGACTAGAAGAAAAGCAGCACTTGGCCTTGCCATAATGGCACGGAGTTGAGATCATATTGGTTTTTCACCTGCCTAACAAAAAGGCTCATTCATTAGTTCACTCACAGAACTGGATGCCTAATAGTTGCCTTCTCCCTGCAAGGCTGGTGGACTGATTCAGATGGTTCATCCTCAGAGATTAATGGAACCTGCTGACTTCCAGGCGGCTCTGGGGAATTTTAAGAGCCTCCCCGGTAACTCTGTGAAGGCCCCTGTAACTGCACAGAATGGTGAGCTGACTGAGGCCATATACAGAGTTGTTCCTTGGCGTCTTCTTCCATGCTCTGTGAGACCCCTCAGCTCCTTGGTTGAACAGGCAGCAGGGCGACATGAAGCAGACTGGAAGGCGACTTGAGCAATGTTGGTGGAAGGCTCAAGGTGAATCAGATCGAGCATGTCATAAAGCCCATTTACAGGGCTATGAAGTGGTGGTGATGGCAGTGAATAAGACTTTCTTTTGGGCCACCATTGCATCAGCAGACTCTTTTGTTCAAAGTGTGGCATGACTTGGTAACACCTAAATTCAACTCTACAGGTGATGAAAATGTGGACCCCAGCTATGATGTTATTGCAAGGTTCTTTGCTGACAAACTCTCTCTCATCCATTCCAACTTGGGGGCCAAGCTGAACACAGATTTGGTCCTCAAGATGTCAGATGTGCCTGCTTGTCCTGTTATGGATAGTTTCAGATTGATCCTGCCTATGGGTGCTGACAGGATCTTTGGAAGTGTGAGGGCCGCCACTTCTGTTTTGGATCCACACCCTTCAAGGCTTCTAAAATCTTGCCAGGAAAAGGTATTGGAGCCAATAGTGAAAATCATCCATTCCTCCCTGATTGAGGGGGCTCTCCCTGGACCTTTGAAGGAGGCAGTTGTTAGAGCTCTGCCCAAAAAACCTTCACTGGCTAGGGATAAAGTGGCCAATTATAGGCTAGTTTCCAAATTACCTTTTCTAAAGAAGGTGATAGTGTGTGGTGGCAGAGCAGCTCCAGGGTTTCCTGAATGACACATCTGCCCTTGACCCATTTCAGTCCAGTTTCAAACCCAGGCCTTGGGTTCACCAAGATGGCTTTAGTTGCACTGGTGGACAATCTTCCTCTAAAGCTGGACATGGGACAATCTTCCCTACTGATACTGTTGGACCTCCCAGTAGCCTTTGATACAGTCAACCACTCCTTTCTTATCCACTGACTTGAATCCGGAGTTGGTATTAAGTTAGTCTTAAGGATGTAGCCCTTCCATGACTTCACTCTTTTCTGTCTGACCGGATACAAAGAGTCTCCACTGGAGGTGCAGAATCAACTGGGTGGAATTTATCTTGTGGGATGCAACAGGGTTCTATTCTCTCACCCATGCTTTTTATTTAGAGTTGCCAAGTCCCCAGTTGGGGGTGGGGGATCCCCCAGTTTTGTGGGATCCTGCCTGCTGCTGACCACCTAGCTGGTGGGAGAAAACCCCCCTACAACAATGTGAAGTGATGTGTCTATGTCACCAGCTCTGGTTTTTGGGCAAAACTTTATGGTTTGAGGGCAATTTTACCATAGGGTTTTGGCCAAAAACCAGATAATTGCCCCTGAAGTACCTATGTCACTTCTGGGTGACATAGGCATGATGCATGGCGTCACTTTCAGTGACATAGGCATGTTGGGAGTGATGCTTCCAGCTCTCAGAGTGTCACCCCATTCCCCTGCCAGCTGCTCGAAGGGACCTGGCAACCATATTTTTATTATATATGAGGCTGCTGACTGAGACTGACCAGAGCTTTCAGGTTGGGTGTCACCAAAACACAGATGACACCCAGCTCTATATTTCATTATCCAAACCTCCAGATCTTGGTTCTAAACCAGTGCTTTCAGGCTGTGGTCAAGTGACTAAGGCAGTACAAACTGATGTTGGATCCAGACAAGACAGTGATAATGCTTGTTAGGAAGGCTGATATAGAAGGACTGAATCCACTTGTCCTAGATGGAGTAACAGTGCTTTTCCAGAGCAAATTAAGAGCTTGGGGGTGCTTATGGGCCCTCTGCCTTGCTGTTTGAAAAGCAGGCTGGCATGGTGACCTGGAGGGCTTTCTATCAGCTGCATCTGAGTCACCAACTTTCTCATTACCCAGACTCAGCTGATCTGGCCATGCTGATCCATACTTCTGTAACTTCATGGTTGTTGGCTGGTCGCTTGACCGTATTAATAAACTTGACTTGACTTCATGGTTGGATTACTGCAATGTACTCTACATGGAGCTGCCCTTGATGACAACCCAGAAACTACAACTGGTCCAGACTGTGGCAGCCCGACTACTGTCAGGGGTTAGCAGCCAGTAACGTATGTTACACACTTTGAAACAGCTTCTTTGACTGCCACTCTGTTTCTGAGTTCAGTCAAGGTGCTGGTTATAACCTTTAAAGCCTTTCATGACCTAAGACCCACATATTTGAAGTGCCATCTCCTTCCACACATCCCTGCACACCAATTATAGACATCAGACAGCCATCGGTTGACTCCATCTGGCAATGATGAGAGCCCAGACCTTTTCCATCTTGGCTCTGGTTCAGTGGGATGGATTTCTTGAAGAACTGAGAATGCCCCCCCCTCCCTGGAGATCTTCAGGAGGCACTGCAAGGCCTGCCTGTATGCCAGGGCACTTGAGGGGGGTTGAACAGCAGGCATATTTTAAGAGGGGAGGGATCTGGGGCTTGTTATTTAATCTTTGATTTTAACTGAGGGAAGTCTTATATATTGGGAAATAGATGGCAAGACAGCTCACACATATAATATACAACTTCTCATAAAAATGATGTACCTTTTTGGCTACAGATAATTAAGCTAGAACAAATTTAAGGTTGCATACATGGAAATATGTTAAACCTGAGTATTTTAACAGGAATTATAACTTGCCACACTACATTTATTAAATTATAAGGTGCATAAACTACCTATTTAGCTTTGTTAAGTTGTGAATGCCCATATTCCTAAATAGTTAAAAGAGTATTAGCAATAAATGAACTAAAATTATTGAGAAGGTTTTGACTTTTTCATAAAGTGAAATTTTATGAGAAAACCAGTCCTATAATCAAAATTTGGGGGGTGGGGAGAAGAGACGAGTTAATAATAAATGAATACATTAATATTTATTAATTGTGGCCTAGAACATTACTAGAGGGAAAGCTGAACTGTCTTGAGATCTTAAAAAACAACACTACACTCATATCTGTATGAAAAACCACAAGCATGTAGCTACAAGTCCTTTCATTAAAACATTCTCCCTATATGAAGATATAAGCATGTTAAGACAAACTTCTGCAGATTACCATGCACAGCAGGAACCAAAAGCCCTAGCAGCTGATCCCAAGCATATTTACTTGGAAAAAGTCCACCTTAAAGACTAGCAAGTTGCCCATTCACATATTTAATGCTAAACCCATAGCTCAGCTATTATATGAGATTAGGGTTGTCAGATACCCTTGTTGCGCCAGCAGGGGGATTTGGGGGTGTTCTGTGGGTGGGCATGGACATTGTGCAATGTGGCAACATTGGGGGCAATACTCTGCTGTTTGGGTAAAACTCTATGGTAAAAATGCCTCAAACCATAAAGTTTTGTCCAAAAAGCAGAGCATCACCCCACCGACATGCTGAAGTCACTTCCGGATGATGTCAGCACATCACACACAGGGGTGGGGGAAATTTCCTCCCACCGGCCAGCTGGCCACTGGTGGGCAGGAGCCCATGAAAGTGGGGGATCTCCTACCCCCACCTGGGGAATGGTATCCCTTTATGGGATCCCCAAATGGATTGGTGCATTTAATCAGTTTGTTGAGAAGATTCAAGCTTCCTTCTTACATCACATTTTGGGTGTTACAAATTGTGTAGGATATGCAGCCATGTGTTTAGAGACTGGGCTGAGTCTTTTAGAAACAGCAGCCTGGCTCCAGACCTTGAAATTTTGGCTCATTTTATATCTTCTATCTGACCAGAACCCTCATATCCCTAATCAAGTACCTAGGTTCTCTCCCAATTACCATGAGGCTCTGGGAACTGGTTGCCAAAAACTTTGGAAAATTTCCATTTTCCTCCTCCTTTAAAGTTTATGATTGTTAATTTATGTTATTTCTTGATATTGTCTATACAGTTAGGTAACTTGAAATAAATGCTTAATAAAGGTTTCTGATCTGACTAGCAAGTTTTTCTTCTAGAAGAAGTCTTCATGGTCTTGAACCATGTACATAAGAATGCAACCCACGTGACTCAGTCTGGTTCACAGATACCTGCATGCAACTTTTCTTTCTGAAGTCTCCCAGGGCAAACAATTTCCCATCTAACATTATTTGACATCATCTAGAAGCTAAAGTAAAACAGAGGAAGACAATGTGCATATGCTCTGGCAGTGACCCCATTAGGTACCTTCACACAGCTACTTCCCACACAGACCAACACGTACAAACCATCTTGCTCTGCTCTACCTCTAGTCATTTCACCTACCTTCCTGAGCCATCTGCTGTGGTCAGAAAGCTTTTACTTTTGCCCCACAACAGGCCAGAGGAGGATGGGTAAG